ATCTGAACCTTCATTTGTAGGTAACATCCTGGAGCCACGTAGGTTTGGATAGTAAGCCATTCCTCATCATCTGAATTCCTGTTCTCTGACACAGGGGTTCATAAGCTCGGACATCGAGTGCTGCTTATAAAATTGTTTGAAGGAATCCTTGTCATGGACAGCAAGGAGGCTAGGACAAGTAGGAAGCTCACACACACACACACACACCCCCATCTGAAGTTCCTGCATACGCCTGTGGATAGCCTGAGATCTAATTCTTGAGCGTGATTACAAGAGCAGCTGGGAGCGTGGGAAAAACAGGCTGGAGATAATATCACAACCCTGACATAGTTGTCGTTTTACATTTACTTGTGTCTATAATTCCTGAGAGATAAACCTTTGGTGGAAATTGAATTTGTTTTTCCTACTGGCCACTCATCTGTTAGGATCTGCAGTATTTTCAAATAACAAAATTATTGGGCCTGGGTAGAAGTGTCTGGTTTACAGAATCTCATGTTTATCTCGGGATAGTCCTCCAGCCAGAGTACACCCTCTGTTGAGGTACTTGTCGACCCTCTGGTCAATCCCTCTAGTTAAGTCCTGTGGTCACGTGATTGCTTCTAATCCGTTTACAGTTTGTCAACTTCCTCACGTGCTGTAGGTCCAGACAGGGAAGTGACAGGGTTCAGGAATGTAGGTAACTTTGCCGTTGGACAGCCTGGACCCATATCTGTGACCTTGGACCCAGGTTCTGTGACCTTGGGCAGGAGCCCCACTTTGCTCAGCTGTACCTGGGGTGAAGACTGTAGGTCACAGCTATGTTGGGTTGAATCATCTGGCGCCATGTTGGTGATGTCTTCTTTCTTACCACCCCCTTTGTCCCTTTCCATGAGCTCGTGGAACAGCAATTACTTTCACTTGGATTTAGAAGTGAGCTGTAACAAACCACGGTTAAAGCAATAGAGACTCCTTCAAACGTAACGTAGAGCTTTTGCTTTTCTCAAAGCCTTAGGTGGGATCTAGAGGGAATGGTGGACCAGAGGATGGCTTTGGACCATCGGAAAGCAGCTTTATTCTGGAGACCCTCAGGCAGATCTTGGGGAGAGTGGGCTTGGTAATAGCCACTGGTGAGATAGTGCCAGAAGCCATGGGGTTAATTAGTAAGGCCCTGTCTGCAGGCTGGCAGGGAGCCCCCTGGCTGGGTCATAAACGCTTCATGGCAGGGGCTCACTGATGCATCGAAATTGTTAATTTAGTTTTTACGAAAACAGATTGCACAGCCACAGGGACGCTGGAATTGGGCGTAATTGAAAATAAATCAGTGGTAAACCTTGAGTGAGCCAGTTGGAGGCAACTTGGGAAGGAAAAAGGGGGTTTGTGTGGGAAGTGAGGGTTGAGGTGTGTGCAGATGAAGGATGGATTCCATCCGTAATTCAAGCGGAAGCAGCCTACAGGTCGCCTCGTCTAACCCTTTTGCTTTAGAAATGAGGAGGCAGCTCTGATGGAGGAAGTGCACAGATAGTTGGCGATGATATGCCTTCCCTTGTCCCTCGGAGTGGTTTTCTGGGACGTTAGCTGTGGGAATGGAGGAACGTGTGCTGAAACAAATGTGGGGCGCCAGGCCACTCCCACTTGGGTGTGTTCTCGGGAAGGCTCAGAGGAAAAGAGAGCTTGCTGCGTTTCCCTGCCAGCCCACCGTGATCGCCCACTGCTCCTGCCTCACACGTCCCCGGGAGCCAGGGAGCCAACGTGTTCCTTTCCTGCCTGGGCCCGGGGGAGTTCCCGTCTGCTAAGAGAAGTGGGGAGCTGGTTTTGAGGTTGAGTTTCTGGTGGTAAATTGGTTGAGGGCCCAAAGTGGGCAGTTGGGTTTTAGGGCTGGGGTTGTGAATTGGGAGGCGTGGCTGGCAGAAAAGGCCACAAGACTGTCTCCGTGAAGCTGGGGATGCTGGCCCTCACCATGATCTGGTGACACAGGGGCCTAGAGGAGGCAGACTGCAGCTTGTGCACGCGCCCTGGAAGCAAGTGAGACTATTCTAAAATACCCAGTGGGAAACTAGGCTGGACGTGTGGCTCAGCAGTATCGAGCCAGCCTTGTATGTTCAACCCCCAGCAACACACACACACACACACACACACACACACACACACACACACACACACACACACACACACACACACACACACACACACACACAGAGGAAATTTGGAAAGCTCAAAGATACTTAAGGAATAAATTGAATCCTTTACTATTGTGTGTTTGTGCTCAAAGCTTTTTAAAGAAAAGTAAGACCCTCGGTAAGGAAATTGGCTTTCTTGTTTAGATAGTTATCTCTTGCTTTAGTGTCTCTGTCTTACATTAGATGTTCTTTTCTTGTAGAACCGTGAACTTTCATAATTGATTAAAAAAATAAAACTGATTCAATGGAGTCCTATGAGTTGATTTTCTGATTAGTGATACCACTTGAAAATCAAGGCCTGGTCCCTTTACAGCATGCCGACTAGCTGTGATATGTGGTAACTCTTAGGAGGGAAGAAGTTTCTGTGAGCAGCTCCGTCAGGCACACCTGGTAACGGAGTAGGTTTCTAGGAAGCTGCCTGTCACGTGGTTTCACCGGCTTGCAGCTCCATTGTGGCGCTTACACCATTCATAGGACCAACACCCATTCACTCAGCTCGGTATTAGCTACGGAGAGAATCTGCTCTAAATCATGCTGGACGGCGTGTGCTTAATTCCCACCGTTTGGTAAAACTGGGGGAGTGACGAATGATTTCATTTTGAAATGAGTTCTGGAAAGAGGTGGGTGGACTTCGTCTGTTGTCATGGGGTTGCATGTAGGAACTTCTTTTCAAAGGAAGAACAGTGCTCTATATTGATGGATCTGTCTCCCGGTATTAGGTTCCTGAGAACCAGAATGTAGACAAGTGTCCATTGTCTATTGTGGGCCTAAAGAAGTGTATTGGTATGAATGGGCATGGACGTGTCCGGGGAGGGGGCGTAGGCCGGGATCTAGTGAATTAAAATATTCAAGTCACACACGTCATGTGTGCTGTCTGAGTCAGCAGGTTGCACTGAAGCAGAAGCGGGTGTGGGTGGTGGTTCTGTGGAGCAGTTCTGGTAGAATATTAAACATGTTCTTCACAAGCTGCAGCCGGTGGCGAGAACTTCTCAGGACTTCTCAGAAGCTGCGACAAGAAGTAGACCTTATGTGTCCTCATGGCAGTTCTTGGAGATGAGACTCAGTGTCTTGGATGAGGGGCTTGTGACTATTCGGTTGAAGTGATGAGAGTTCTAAGCGATGGGTCGGTGCCCACCACTCCTCAACCACTCCCCAACTCTGGTCATCTGATTTCCAGTTGTTCGTGCAGCCTAGAAAACCTCATTAAAAACTAAAGCCCACAAGTGGTAGAGCCGCAGGCCTTGAGCCGAAGAGCTGAGGGCACAGCACCCAGATGTCAGTATATGCGTTTGGTTCTATGTGGTTCTGAGGAACCAAACCCAGGGCTTCATGCATGCTAGCCAAGCACACTACCACTGAGCCACCTTCCCAGCCCAACCCCAGTGCTCTTTTTTTTTGGTCGGTCATGGGGCTTGAACTCTGGGCCTGGGCGCTGTCCCTCAGCTCTTCAGCTCAAAGTGAGCGCTCTACCACTTGAGCTACAGTGCCACTTCTGGTTTTCTGGTTGTTTATTGGAGATAAGAGTTTCATGGACTTTCCTGACTTTTCCGGCTGGCTTTGAACCACAATCCTCAGATCTCAGCCTCCTGAGTAGCTAGGATTCCAGGCGTGAGCCACCGGCGCCTGGCCCCAGTGCTTTTTTGTTGGTGTTTTTGCTCTAGGGGATCTGTCTCTTGATAAAAGTAGAGTATTATCCTCCTCAAATCTTACTGCATTAGAGTTGGTATCTCCTTTTAGAGTTAATGGTGTTTGCTGAAAACTATTTGCTCACACTGGAGGGAAATAAATTGAATATCTAAGATTGCTTTCAGCTGCACAAAATTAATTATATTTTAAATTGTGGCCCTTTGTCCTCAGCCCATGTCAGTTCCAATGTCCTGTTGTAACAGTTGGGGTGTATGCCTTCTAATTTTTTTGTGTGTTTGTTTGTTTCTTTGTTGAGACAGTTGTACTAATTTGCCCAGACCAGCCTTCAACGTACAGTCTTCCTCCTTCAGCCTCCGAGAGTAGTTTGGATGTCAGGCGTTGTTCATGGGTTTCCTGATTGTGTGTGTCTGTGTGTGCCTGTGCTGTGTCTGTGTCTCAGGGTATGTGCCCATGTGTGTGCATGTGTGCGTGCTGATAATGGGGCGTGAGCTCAGGGGCTGGGTGGAGTCCGGGTGTTTTTTCTCTGAACTGGTGCTCTGCCACCTGAGTAACAGCTTTTTGGTGGTTAATTTGAGATAAGAGACTCACAGACTTTCCCACCTGGGTTGGCTTCAAATCCTGATCCTCAGATCTCAGCCTCCTGAGTAGCTAGGATTACAGGCAAGGGCCGCTGGTGCCTGCTGGGTCTCCAACTTTTGAAAAACTTACACATCTACTCACCTGTGCTTTTGAATGGGTTAAAATACAGTATTATCTAGCTTTTTTTTTTTTAAACTTCCACAGGTTTGAATTAGTAAAAGGAAAGATTACTTAGTAATTGAGTGTATTTTAACCAATAAGCCTTTGCTTCAGTTTAATAATAAAACCAGTATCGAATAATATTGTTGTAATACAACAAGATTACACAAATCATTATAATGTAATACCAAAGAAACAGGACCAAAATCAAGCAAGTAATACATGCAGTTATTCCTTGTTTTATCAACATTGAGCCATGGAGACTATTTTGTACATGTATGTGTATATCTCACAACAATACAGTGTTATGGACAGTTAAAATGGAAGGATTGACAGTATTGAATGGAAGTAAGAACTATTTGAGAAGGACTTTTTGTTTCCATGGAGGTTTATTTTGTTGTTGTTTTTTCCGTCTGTAATTGTTCACAAATAACCCTTTTTCTCTTTACTCTTCCACAGTTGGAAACAGACAAACTGGCTCTCCCAATGAGCCCTGGGCCGCTGAGCCCGAGCCCCATCCCCAGTCCCAATACGAAACTTGAGAACTCCGCTCTCCTGACCGTGGAGCCCTCCCCGTTGGACAAGAACAAGGGGTTCTTCGTGGACGAGTCCGAGCCCCTTCTGCGCTGTGACTCCACGTCCAGCGGCTCCTCGGCACTCAGCAGGACCGGCTCCTTTATTACCAAAGGTACGGCAGGGGAGGTCTGGGCAGGCCTCGGGCTGCTTCCTGCCTGGCTCTACCATCTGCTTGCAGCTTGGAGCTTTGGGATGACGGGCCCAGGGAGATCTGGCCTCACTCCCAGACCAGACTGGCCTCGGGGAAGCCGCTTCACCTAGAAAACCTTTACGGCAGGGCGGGAGCGAGGAGATGTGCGTGTCACCCTTGTCCTCTGGTGCTGGGGACAGGTGATCCGAACAAGTCGGGCAGGCTTTTTGAAAATTACTTACCAGGATTGAGCATATAACCGATCTTGAATTAGAGGTATACTGTTGGTGAGTAAACTGTACCCTAAAATTCCCTTTATGTGCTGGTTGATAGTGGCTCATGCCTGTAATCCGAGCTACTCAGGAAGCTGAGATCTGAGGATTGAGATTCAAAGCCAAGAGACTCATTATTTCCAGTAAACCAGTCAACCAGCCAAACATTGGAAGTGGAGATGTGGCTCAAATGGTAGTGTGGTAGTATGCCAGCATTGAGCAAAAAACACAAAGCCCATTTCTGATATACCACACAATCCCTTTAAGCAAATAGTGTTTTACAAACAATGGATTGCAATGCCTAGCAAATTAATTGACCCATTTTATTTCTAACAGTGCAGTAGGGAGTTAGCATACACACCAAGTAGACAATAGTTTTGAGTTACAACTTCCCTAGTTTTTAGGTAATTCCATTTATGTTTTCATGAAAGGGTATTTTTAATAGCTTTCATCGTACATAATTTATAAAGTTCCTACTATTCTGTATATTTCACACATTTATATTAATCTATTTTGTATTTGTGTGGAATATTAGTATTTTCATTTAGATTTATGTCACACCTGCTGTAGAGAGAGACTTGTGTAATTTTAGGAAGGGATATAATTCTTCACCCCCATGGAAGGTATGATGTAAGAAGCAATATTTTCTCATTTACATGCTCTCTCAGTTTGGTCTTAAAAGTATAGCAGCATAGTCATAAAGCCTGATAAACAGACTACCTTGGCTTGGAATTTTTGTAAAAGAAATGGGCCAAAGTGTAGATGCATGACAGATGGAAAAAGTAATAAATATGTTTCTTTTAAATACATTTCAACATCTTTCTCCTGACAATCAGGAAAATGTAGAAGCCATCCAAGTCTAGGCAGATGTCACCTTAATGATCCACTCAAGCAGTTCTTTGATCTCTACAAGTAAAACACTGTTGTGTAAAATATGCCTGAGAGTCACACACTAATTGGCTGTGAGAAGAGAGGGTAGACTCGCCTTGGGGAATCCCCACCCCCAGCACAGCCCTGCTCACCGGCCTCTCCCCCTCCTTCCCTCACCTCTGTTGCTGCAGAAAAGAAGGACACAGTGTTGCGGCAGGTACGGCTGGACCCCTGTGACCTGCAGCCGATCTTCGATGACATGCTCCACCTCCTGAACCCCGAGGAGCTGCGCACCATTGAAGAGATCCCTCAGGCTGAGGACAAACTGGACCGGCTCTTCGAGATCATTGGAGTCAAGAGTCAAGAAGCCAGTCAGACCCTCCTGGATTCCGTGTATAGCCATCTTCCTGATCTGTTGTAGAGCACACAGACACTGCATTCTGGAAATCAACTTAGTGGCAGGGTGGTTTTCTTTTGTTTCTTCCCCCTCCTCTCCCCGCCTCCCCCCTTCAAATGTGTGTTTGCGTGTGTGTGTGTGTGTGTGTGTGTGTGCGTGCGTGCGTGCATGCGTGTGTGTGTGTGTGTGTGCGTGTGTGTGTGTGTGTGTGTATGTGTTTGTGTATGTGTTTAACAGAGTATATGGCCAGTGCTTGGGTTCTTTCTTGGTACTTCTTTTCTTGGCTCCCTTCCTTTTCCCTCTTTTTCCCCTCCTCTCTTTTCCTTATGGGAAGTTAGTTTATAAGTCTTTTCAAGATTTAACTGTTGCAAAAAAAAAAAAAAACCACCACTAAAGTTTTTAAGTTTCATATTTTCTGGGTGTTTTTTTTTTTTTTGCCTTCTTATGTATTTTCACAATTGTTCTGTGCACTTTAAATCCACTTTGCTTGCCGCCAGTACGGTGTGACTCTCCTTACACACTGGATTGTGAGGCTCTTTCTAACTCCTTCAGAGAGTAATGGCATCTTGTGAATTCTATAAGCATCCTGTCTTTCAACGTCCATCCCTGCTCTTTTGTGTTTAAATAAGACTCTTCATGTTTTGATTTGTCCTTTACAAATGTTCTTAAGGATTAAGCAAATTGAAGACCCTGTTAAGTTACTGTAATGCACTTAGATGTTGAGTTCTCTTTCACTATGCCTTGTCTATTATCATATTCATGGCTGACACTTGACACACTTGCTGATTGTATGGTTTTCACTGTGTAGAATGCTTGACTACTTGTGCTTTTCTTAATGCTAATATGCTCTGGGCTGGTGAAATATCCTTAAGCCATCAGGACTTACTTGCTATTTCAGTGGCTTGACACCTGGGCCACCAAAGAACTTGAACTTCATCTTTTAGGGACTGAGTTGTTCGGGAACACATTGCTGCACTTTGGAAAAACAAAACTGTGTGCCAGTGGCACCTTTTCCCATAGAAAATGTGCCCAGCTTTGCTTTCAAAGATGCCCTTGTTTTTATACACACATAGTTGGTAGGTCTAGCCTGCCCTCGGGCCTTGCTGGATTTCCTTCATCATCCAATCACTTTAATTAAAAATGGCTGCGGCTGTAAGAACTCTTGTCTGATATATTTACAACTATGCTCCCATTTATGAATCTACCCGCCAATGCTCAGTGGTCAGATTCTAATGCAAAGATGGTGTGGATTCACTCTGTGTGAGCGGGATGTGTGGGTAATCGTGAGGAACCGATGATCAGAAAAATGCCTTCAAGTGTACTAATTTATTAATAAATATTAGGTGTTTGTTACTTGGGTAGTTTGGGTGTATTTAATCCCTAACACTCATTCTTTGTACATGCATTCTGTTATGACCCTGTGATTAGTCATTTGGAAAAGTATGTGTATACTAAAACCTTTACCCTCCTTATCTGTGAACCATGCAAGTTAGCAAAGTCCGTTTAACTGGAAAGGTACCTGGTGGTTCATGGAGAAGGAATCAGGTGAAAATACCAAGCCTTTCTTGAACTCTTGGGCTCCTATTTTTTAGACAGACCCTATTTTTAAGAATTGAGAACCTGGAGGTAGAAATGTGCAGATAAGGGATGGGAAGGTGGCTCAGTGGTAGAGTGCTTGCCTAGCATGCACGAAGCCCTGGGTTTGGTTCTTCAGCACCACATACACAGAAAAGGCCAGAAGTGGTGCTGTGAATCAAGTGGTAGAGCGCTAGCCTTGAGCAAAAGAAGCTGAGGGACAGCGCCCAGGCCCAAGAAGTGTGCAGATAATGACTGGGCCCTGTGTTCTAACTCGTGTCCTTCCAAGACATGACGCGTGGGAGGCTCTGCATCACAGGCTTCTGTTGGATCACAGAGGGGCACTGGAGGGGAGGTCGGGGGCAACGTCCCTCTGCTCAGTGCCTGTCCCCGGAGCTTCACTCGGGGCCGTGTTTCTGCAGGATTCCCACTGCATCAGCATTTTTCACTTCCTCTTTCAATGAGAAGCTGGAGCTGGGTGGTGCCCGTCTGTGCCCTTGGACACCCATGTGAACAGCCAGAAGTGTGGCTCTGGTGTCATCCTCTCCCACATGACTGGTTTCTGGAGAATCCTTGTGCCTTCCGTCTGTTCATGTTTGCGGTTTTACATTTTGCAATGTGCTCAGTTTATGAAACCCACATAACGGGGAAAAAGGTACCGTTATTATGCCCATTGTGCAGATGAAAATAGACTTACCTATAAAGCTAGGATATCTGCGTGAAGACATCTTAGGGAGGAGACGTTGAGTTGGCTGATGGTTTCAGAGGCGTCAGTCTGTGGTTAGCTGGCTTCCTCGCTCTCGGGCCTGGCGGAAGGTGTTAGGAAGCACCGCTGCTTGCTTCATGGTGGTCAAGAGACAGAATAAGGCAAAAGGTCTGGGGCAAAATAATCCCTTCCGAGACTCACCCCCAGAGACAGACTTACGAAGTCCTGCTTCCTAGTAGCCCATTCCGTTAAAACTTAACTCCTCAAATGGATCAACTAGTGAGTGGCCCTCATGATTCAGTCACTTCTCAGTCATTCACCAGACCTTCAACACATGAACATTTTAGGGGGACTACTGCATATCCAAACCATAATACCAAGAAACGTGCTTAAGGCCTCTTAGCAAAGTAATAAACAAATCAGGCATGAATCTGGGATTTCTGAGTATCTAAATCTAAGATTTGTTCATTCTGCTTAAGAAAGACCAGCAACCAGAAACCCTCTGTGAGCTGAACCTGTGGGTACTGATTATGAACCCAGATGGGTTACAAGGAAAGCCCTGTTTATTTGGAAACTCAGCAAGAACTTCAGGAAGTTTAGGAGCGAGGTGATAGGTGTTGCTGGCCGAAGGCAGTTGTGATAATACAGAAAGGAGCTATCAAGCGTTTCTAGAAGAGAATACAACCTCCAGCTATGTTATTTAAATGCACAGGGCCAGGTGTATTAGCACCTGCCTGTAATCACAGCACTCGGGAGGTTGAGAACCAAGAGTTAAAGGATAGCCTGGGCTAAGTAATTAACAAGACCTAAAAAAAAAAAAAAGCCAAAGTAATAATTATCAAAAATGATTTAAAAAAAAAAAGTTCTGGTCAGAACCAATGGTGATCTCTGTACCTCAGTGTTCTCTGGTCCTGGCTGCCTTTCCCGGAGGAATGAAGCTGAGCTGGAAGGTCGGGGTAGGCTGGTGGGAGAGGGCACGGGTGAGGGTATAATAGGAAGGGGGCGGGGAGGTGATGGTTGGCTCAGCCAAAGATTGTAGGCAGGAGAGACTAGCTTCAGTCATTTGAAGGGCTAAACGGAGAATGATTTATAAAATGATGCTGTCCAGATACAATTAGATCAGGCTGCTTTGCTGCTTTCTACTGAGAGACTGGCCCTTCCTGAGGGAAGACATTGGACATACATCAGTGGTGCTCAGACTTTCAGGTAGATAGTAGAGGATGAACAGTCTGAAGAGAACGGGAGGTGAAATCCAGAATGAGCCTCTCCCGCTGGCTTTTGGTGGGGGGGCTACACTTGGAAAACTAGGTAGTCTAGATCCTTGCCACCAGCCCCTATGGCTACCACCAGCATTTGGAGTCAGGGTCGCTGCTTAGAAATGCATCACTGGCTGTTGCTTTGCTCCATCTCCGAGCCTGAGGAGGCCCTGAGCGTTGTAAGGAAGCGAGGGTCGTGAGACAGACATTGTTACCACGGTCTCGACAAGCAAGCCCTGGGTCCCAATTCAGAATTCGGATGTACAAGAAAGAGCCCTGATGCCAGAGAAAAGCAATTAGACAGATAATGCACTGCTGATGACGGAGGACCCAGGCTTGAGCAGGGCTAGAGACTTTACCTTCATTGTTGGGTGCAAAAGAAGTTGAAGGATGTAAGAGAGCTTCGGGGCTGACGGGGGCCCAGTGGGCCAGAGATGGACCTGGATTGTGAACCATCTGGGCTGTGGATGGACAGGGTCTGAAGTCCACACAGCAGCCTAAGAGGAGGATGTGCTTGGGACAAATTCCAGAGTAGGGGTGTGTCTTGGGGACCTAGGACTTGTAGGCTATAAGGTCCATTTCCCAGGTCTCATGATTTGAAAACCAGAGAGGGTTCCATGCAGGACTAGGATGGCAGAGATCAGCCAGGCAAGTGATGGTATAGAGACGGCTAGGAGCAAGGGGTGATTGGGCAGCCATGCCAAAAGGTGGAGCGTAGAGGTACAAACCCATTAAAAGTCTGAAGGAAGGGGGTTAAAGACAAGGGTTCTAGGTTCTTAGTACTCAGCCAACACAGCATTTCCTCTCTTAAAACCAAAAGTCGGTCCAGAGGGAAGGGTACCACTGAGCTTCCAGGTGAGGTGAGGGTTGGGTCGACAGCAGTTGAAGACCATGTCCTAAGAAGCCAGAGGGCCATGGGCTACACAGGGGGGAGGGGGGGAGAGAAAACTGGACAAAAATGGGGGAACAAATGAGTGGGAATGAATTCACATGTGGGGGCCGGGGAACTGGCGTGGTCCTTGTCTGGAACAAGATTATTACCAGAGCCCAAAGCTAAATCCCATAAAGCTAGAGAATTGAAATCTCACAAAGGATGAAACATCGTGTCTTTGAGTCATCCACTGAACGCGATGAGGTTTTAGTTCAGAAAGAGAATATTCTGGGTAGCTCTAAATTTCCGTGACCTGGAGTATTATGTAAATGGAAGGTACATTAGAGGTCATTTAGTCACGTATTTTACTCTTGCAGATTTCTAGTACATACTTGACTGCCATTCAAATTCATGACCCCTGGAACTGAAAACATCACCCATCAAGCCCTTAAGCTCTGTAGCAAGTCAAGTGCAACAACTCAAAAGTGTAGAACTTTCCACTGCCAAGCAAGTAGCGGCAGTGGTTGCAGCAGGAAAAGCGCGGACAGCAATAGCTGTCTCAAGGAGCCCCCCCCCCCCCCTTCACCAAGCCATTGGCAGCCCTGGCGTCCATCTTGAGTCCTGCTGATCTCTCCACAAGTTTCTATCCTTTCGCTGTGAAGAGAACATTTCCAGACATATTTCCACAGGAGTGATGTAGATACCATCCATTTTTATAAAGCCGCCCCACTACAA